TGATAAGGGAGAAAAAGAGCTACTGAGCCAGACAGAATTAGCTAGTAGTAAAGAAAAAAGGAAAATTACAGTAGATTATAGAAGTTTAGGTAGCAAAGTCTGAAGATTGTGAGTCCAGGACTATTATGCTGCCCCATGATGTAAGCTTATGTTGCCCCAGGCTCCCTCTGTCTCATGGCTCTGCCATCCTCAGCACATGGCTTCCTCCTCATGGTTAAATATAGTTACTTGAGCTCCAGCCATCACAGCTTCATTGTAGCCAGCAGGAAAGAGGGAGAGCAGAAGGGCACACTCCCTCCCTTTAAAAACCCTTTCTAAGGTTGAAAACAGCCCTTCTGCGTATATCCGCTTGTCCAGAACTAGGTCACATGGTCACATCCAATTGCAAGGAATCTGGGAAATGTAGCCGTCATTCTGAGTGACCATTTGCTTGGCCAAAAACTGGTGGTTTGTTATTAGGAGGGAGAGAACAGCTGTTTGGGGACAGTTAGCAGCCGCTGTCTCAGCTGCCTTCAGAGCAAATTTATGACAACTGAAAAGCCATAAAACCCATCCCGCTCCCCCAGTTCTGGGATACATACCAAGTGCCTGCCAAGTCCGAGGCGCTGTGCCAGGCAGGGTCACAGCTGCATGTGCAGCGTCTGTTGTTTCCCAGGACCAAGGAGAATGTCAGGTCTGTGGTGGGACATGGCCAAGGGCTGGCCAGGACAGAGTAGGCGCTGCTCATAATTCTCCTGTGAACTGGCTGTGGAACCCCAGTCAGGCCACTTCCCCACTCCAGCTCCCCTTACCAATCGGGTGTTGGGGGGGGGGTCGGCGAGATGGATTATTTTGGTCAAGGTCACCAGCAGCACAGCTGGGATTTGTACCTTTGGCAGCCTAGCTCCTGAGCCCAGGTTCTTAACCACTGGGCTACACTGCTTGGAGGTCTGCAGGCTGGAGCTGTGTGTCTGACACCATCCCAGCCCCCAGAGGCCAGTGGCCTGGTTGGGCCTGCTGGCAGCTCCAGGCACCAAGCTGCCTTGATCAGCATGGATTCAGGCCAAGGGCTGACCAGGACAGAGTAGGCGCTGGGGCTGGGCGTGGCCGCGAGTGGAGAGAAGTGGGCACAGGGCCCCGGGAAGATTTTGGTAACGAGCAGGATCAGGTGGCTCAGGCACTGGATCCATGCCGTGACTGTGTCTTGCCCAGAGCGTAGGAAACAAACTCAGCCGTCGACTCCTAGAGCAGCAATTTTCAAACTGAGTCGAGAAATTGGTGTGAGTGGTGCATTAGGGAAAAAGAATAAAAAGAAAAACAACAATGAAAAATAAGAAAATAGAGTGTATTGTACAAAATCAGACTGAGTACGGTTTCCTAAAATTCTCATTGACATTTTGTGGGCATGTCCTGGGTTATGATCTAAATATAGTTCCTGCTGTGATAACTGTCAAGATTAAGTGCCAAGGCCTCAGATCTAGAAGACTGCCTGCCGATGGAAAGAGCTGTTAAGAATAATTGAAATTATTGCCTTGATCTAAAAAAAGATTTAAAATTTTTTCACTTATTTATTATTTTGTATTGAAGCAATCCAGCTTTGTAAAAAGTTAAAACAGGATAGAAGTGTACTAAGTTTTAAAAAGTTGCCTCCACCCCCTAGCTCCCAGCTCCCGGTCCCACTGCCCATCCCAGTGCTGGGAGAGTTGCCGTGGGTCCTTCAGGAAAGTTTTAATGCGTCTACAAGTGTCCTTTTTCTTTTAACACAAATAGGATCACCATAATATACCTGATCTTCTGCAACTTGCTTTTTAAATTTAACAGTTTTCTTTGACTATCTCCTTTTTTTTTTTTTTTTTTTTTTGAGGAAGATTAGCCCTGAGCTAACATCTGCTGCCAATCCTCCTCTTTTTGCTGAGGAAGGCTGTCCCTGAGCTAAATCCGTGCCCATCTTCCTCTACTTTATACATGGGACGCCTGCCACAGCATGGCATGCCAGGTGGTGCCATGTCTGCACCCAGGATCCGAACTGGCGAACCCTGAGCCGCCAAAGCGGAACATGCAAACTTAACCACTGGCCATGCCGCTGGGCTGGCCCAGACTGTCTTCTTTTTTAACTTTAGCTTTATTGAAATATAATTCACAAACCTTACAATCTACTTATTTAAAATGTTCAATTCAATGGTTTTTAGTATATTCACAATCATGCAACCAACACCACAATCAATTTTAGAACATTTCATCAACTCGAAAGAAGCCCTGTGCCCATCAGCAGTCGTTCTCTGACTCCTCCCAGCTCTCCTCTCCCCCGTTCCTAGGCAACCACTCGTGGACTTTCTGTCGTAGAGATTTGTCTTCTCTGGACATTTCCTGTAAATGAAATCGTTCAGTATATGGTCTTTTGTGACTGTCTTCTTTCACTTAGCGTGTTTTTAAGATTCATCCATGTATCCATACTTCATTCCATTTTTGGCTGAATAGCATTCCAGTGTTTGGACAGACTACACTTTGCTTATCCATTCATCAGTTGATGGACATTTGGGGTGGCTATTATGAATAATACTACTATGAACATATGTGTACAAGTTTTTGTGTGGACATGTTTTCATTTCTCTTGAGCGTATACCTAGGACTGGAATTGCTGAATCATATGGTAAGACTGTTTTCCAAGTGGCTGCACCATTTTACATTTCTACCAACAGTGTGTGAGGGTTTCAGTTTCTCTACATCCTTGCCAACACTGGTTATTATTCATGTTTTGGATTATATCCATCCTAGTGAGTGTGGCTTTGATTTGTATTTCCCTAATGGCTAATGATGTTGAGCATCTTTTCATGTGCTTATTGGCCATGTGTATAACTTCTTTAATGAAATGTCTATTCAAATCCTTCACCCACAGTTTATTTTAGTTGTCTTTTTTTTCCCTTGAGGAAGATTTGCCCTGAGCTAACATCTCTGCCAGACTTCCTCTATTTTGTATGTGGGTCACCACCACAACATGGCTGGCCAGTGGTATAGATCTGAACCCATGAACCCCAGGATGCCAAAGTGGAGCACACTGAACTTAACCACTACACCACAGGGCCAGCCCCTGGGTTGTCTCTTTATTGTTAAGTTATATCAGTTCTTTACATAGTCCCTTATCAGACACATAATTTATAAAAATTTTCTCCCATTCTGTGGGTTGTCTCTCCACTGTCTTGGTTCTGTCCTTTGAAGCACAAAAGGTTTTAATTTTGATGATGTCCGTTTATCTATTCTTTGGTTGCTTGTACTTTTGGTGTTCTATCTAGGGCTTTGCCTAACCCAACATCACAAAGATTTTCTCCTATATTTTTTTCTAAGAGAGTTACAGTTTTAGCTCTTATATTTAAGTTGTTGATCCATTTTGAGTTAATTTTTGTGTATAACATAAAGGGTCCAATATCTTTTGCATGTGTGTATTCACTTGTTCCAGCACCATATGTTGAGAAGATTTCTCTTTCCTCGTTGAATTGTTTTGGCACTCCCAACAAAAATCAGTTGGCTATAAATGTGGGGGCTCGTTTCTGGACTCTCAATGCTATTGCCTTGGTCTGTGTCCGTCCTTATTGCCAGTGCCAACTGTCTGGATTACTGCAGCTGTGTAGTGAGTTTTGAATTCAGGAAGTGTGACTCCTCCAACTTTGTTCTTCTTTTTTCAAGATTGTTTTGGCTATCCTGCGTCCCTTGAATTTCCATATGAGCTTTAGGACCAGTTTGTTAATTTTTTCAAAGCAGCCAGCTGGGATTTTGATAGTGATTGGGTTGAATCTCTAGATAAATATGGGGAAGACTGCCCTCTTAACAATACTCAGTCTTCTGATCTATGAACACAGGATGTCTTTCCACTTATTTAGGTCGTCTTTAATTTCTTTCAATGCATTTTGTTTTTCACTCTACAAGTCATGCATTTCTTTTCTTAAATTTATTCCTACATATTTTATTCTTTTTGATGCTGTTATAGATGGAATTGTTTTCTTAATTTCATTTTTGGATTTTTCATTGCTAGTGTATAGAAATACAATTGATTTGTGTATGCTACAGTCTTGCTGACCCCTTGCTTGACTATCCGTGCATGTCTGTGTGTATTCAGAGCCTCTCCTTTCTTTCTAACAGTCACACAGCATTTCAGGGCGAAGAGAAACTGTAACTTATATACCAGGCTCCATCGATGGACACTGTGGGCTGTTGTCTTTTTGCTGTTACTGATCACGCTGCAGAGAACACTCTTAGGGCCCCTCATTCATTCTGGGGATGTGTTTTGAGTACCCACTCTGTTACCAGGCGCTCTTTGAGGCACTGGGGCTACAGACAATGAAAAAGTGAATGAGATGATTTCAACTTGAGAAAATATGAAGAAAATAAAAGAGTGATGTGCTGGGGAGTGGCTGGACGTGCGTGTCAGAGGAGTCCTTTGAATTGAGGAGTCAGAGATTTCTCTCGAGAGGTGACTTTTGAGCTGGGATCCAAATGATGAGAAAGAACCCACTGTTGGAAGATTGGGGAGGTCGTTCCACACACAGGGAACAGCAAGTACAAAGGCCCTGAGGTGGGAATGAGCTCGCGGTGTTCACAGGACAGAAAGAAAGCCAGTGTGCCTGGAGAGCCATCAAGGCGGAGGAGAGGTGGGCAGGGGCTAGACTAACGCAGGCCATATAGCCTTAAAAGGCATTTCGATTCTATTAAGAACATGGAGAGAAGCCACTGGAGAGTGTGACTTGGTCTCATTTATGTTCTAAAAAGATCACTCTAGTTACTTAAGAAGGGTTTATTTTCCCTGGCTTGTTTCAAGTGCTGTTCTTTGAAGCGGAATGACTGGGTGGACGGGTTTGTACGTTGAAGATGTTCCCAGATGCTGCCTGCCAGGTGCCTCCCCAAAAGGTGGCTGTAGTCTTCCCTCTGAGGATGCCGGCTCTTGTTGTCGCCAGTGGCATTTGGGGTGAGGTGCCCAGCGAGCTCTCACCCCCTGGGCCTTAGCACCCATTCTCTTTTTCCCCTTGCAGGACCCTCGCTGCTGCATTTGCGCGGTGACTCTGGCTGTACCGTCCACCCTGTGGGTAAGACGGGCGCCGCAGGAACATGGCAGACGAAGACCTCATCTTCCGCCTCGAAGGCGTTGATGGCGGCCAGACCTCCAGGGCTGGCCCCGACGGTGATTCTGACGCAGACAGCGACGATGACGAAGGTTACTTTATCTGCCCCATCACCGATGACCCCAGGTCACACCAGAATGTCAATTCCAAGGTTAATAACTACTACAGCAACCTAATGAAGAGTGAGCAGTACAGCTCCAGCGGGTCACCCGCGAGCTCCTTCCATTTTAAGGTGAGTGGACCACCCGCTCCACCTTCCCCACCCCAGCTCACCTGCACGAGGGATGGGGAGCTGGGGTCGCTGGTTAGAGTCTTCCCTGTTTAGAAACCGTGGGCAGCCCTCTAAAATCTGGATCTGAGGCTAGACCTGTTAAGCTGGAAGGATTTTGTTGGTTTAAAACAAGTTTCATTACTTGAAAGCACTGTTTTTCAGATAGCTGCTTGGGACCCACCCCTGCATTGTGAAAACCTCGACTAGCTTTTTAGGAACTGGAACAGAACAGAATAGACTAGAAAGTATTGGAGAATACTGCATATTGTAAAGATCTTATTTGGGGGCACATATATGCATCCATGTTCACACACATAAACGTGGTGACCAGTTTGTTGTTGATGACCAGCTTCTCACGATGTACCAATTGTTAAATATTTTTGTTTCACTTCTGGTGTGTGTGTTCGTGGGCCCGGGGACATGACATAAAATGTAGTTCTTCGTGTGGTTTGCAGTCAAAAAAGCCACTGCTTAGGGTTGAGCATCCTTCTTCTGGATTGAGGAAAAGGGTAGGAAATCCCTTACTTCGTTAGGGGTTTGTGTTCCTTCCATGGGAAAGCTGGTCTAAAGGAGAGGGAGAAAGGCAAACGTTATTGCACTTTTGTATAATAACTGGTGGTGAAAAACATTAAAAGCGTGATACTGTTATCTTTATTCAATCCTCACAAACGGTAAATACCTGTTAGTACTGGGAACAAAATGCCTATTACCACTTTGGGATTTGAAATTGAAACCATTCTCTTCTAACTTCAGAATTAATCTGTTTTTAGAATATTAATAATTCTGGTTCACAGTTGAATATTTTTTCCTTTCAGGGCCAGAGTTCTAGCTTAAGTCTCTCTGGGGCAGGCAGCTCCGGAAATAGCCCTGTGGGTCCCCTCTGAGGTTGGGGGGGCCCCTGAAGGGTCGGCTTGTGGCTTGCCCCGCTTTCCTGTCCTGAGGCAGCTCTGAAATGCACACCCAGCCCCTCGGAGGGCAGCGTGGGAAGGGTGGGAGAGCACCTGGCACTTCTGTCCCTTCGCTTTAGGTCAGGAAGGCTCGAGGAGATGCTGATCTGTGCGGCGTCCTCTACCCCATGTGAGGGAATCCAGGTGCCAGAGGGGGCTGGGGGGTCAGGGCTCGTGAAACAGAAACCAGCCCACGCCGGCTCAAGGGAAAGAGGGAATTTATTGTAACAATCCAGGAGTGCTTTCTGGGACCCAGGGGCAGAAATGATGTGTGTCTCTCAGGGGACAGATGCAGGAACTGGAAGGCCATGGGCCTGTCTCTCTCTGTCTCATCTCCCAATCTCTATCCTATATTCTGTCCTATCTTCTCTGCCTCTTGGTCTACGGAGTGGGAAAATAGACCCTCACAGTCCCAGAGTCCCCTCATTACAGGTGGAGCCACGTGCAAAGACAGACTTGACCCTCTCCATCCCAGTTGTGGGGGGAGAAAATCTGGTTGGCCCAGCCTGGGTCAGTCATCCTGCGTCTCTGATCCGGTCACTTCCAGCTAGGGCTTGGGTTGGGGGTGTCACAAAAGAGGGGCTGCTTCCAGGGAAGGAGGATCCTAGTGGCCTCCAAGTGGGGTAGACCCCTCAGAAGGACTCTCCCCACAGCTGCCTGTTTAGAGGAACCAAGAGCCTGGTGGGGGCCGTTTGGCAAACACTGAATGGACCCAGGAGCTGAGGGGTCTCAGACATGGTGGGACACAGTCTCTGACTGCAGAATGCAGTACGGTGAGCCTTTAAAGGAAACACAGATGGCGTGCTCTGGTGAAGGGAGGTCTGTCTGTAGGTCTGGCTTTAGGATGTGAGCTTCATGGGGGCAGGACCCTGTGGCCTGTTCATCACTCATCCCCAGTGCCTAGAGCCATGCTGTGCACACAGTAGGTGCTTCATTTGGAATCAGTGGGGACATGGATAAATGCTGAACTCACTTCACTGTGGGTACTCTCTCTCTAAGGAACAGATAGACAGTATTTGCATAAAACGTAAGCCGCTGCGGCCATATGATAATAGTTATTAAAATAAAAAACATACCTCAGATGGCAGTTTTATCTCTGGAAGTTCATCCTCAGCCAGGTGTTCCCACTGGGGGTGCTGTTGGCTTTTTGGGAATGACAGTTCTTTATTGGGTGGGACTGTCCCTTATATTGTAGGATATTCAGCATGTCTGACTCCTGCCACTAAATACCATGTTTTCCCCCTATTCATTATGACAGCCCAAAATGTTCCCCACCATATTTTTACAAAGCTCATGTGAGGGGGTACTGCCCTTAGCTGAGAACCAGTACAGAAGTATTTGTCTAAGTGTTCAAATTTACGTATTTAAAGATGTGCTTTGCGGTATTGTTTGTAATAAAGAAAACGTGGACACAGCTCAAATGTCCATTGTAGACCATGGGCCTAGCAGAATGCTGTATTTACATGAAAACAAAGATGACCTTTCCGGGTGATTTGACTTGAAAACAGTGCCAAAATAGAGATAAATATATATCTGTGCGTGTATGTACATATTATGTATTTTGTGGGAGGAAAACAAAATCCATGAAAAGCCCTTGGGACAGTGCTGGTCCATAATAAGGACAAAAAATGTTAGCTATTTTTGGATTATATGTGCTGTTAAGTAAAACAGCAAGTTGAAATGTAATACAATCCCACTTTTATCAAAAAACGTATATACACAGGGGCCAGCCTGGTGGCGTAGTGATGAAGTTTGTGTACTCCACTTCAGCAGCTTGGGGTTCGCCGGTTCACATCCTGGGTGTGGACCTACACACTGCTCATCAAGCCATGCTGTGGTGACATCCCACACAGAAGAACTAGAAGGACTTACAATTAGCATAAACAACTATGTACTGGGGCTTTGGAGAGAAAAATAAAAAAGAGGAAGATTGACAGTATTTTAAGATTGGCTCAGGGCCAATGTTAAAATATGTATATATATATATACACACACGCATATTAATATTTGCATAGCAAAAACTGACAGAGAAATTTGCATCCAATAGTTAATGGTGATTCTTTCTGGGGGAGAGGGTGCTGTTAAGGGGGACTTTGATTATCTACATTATATGTATTTTTAAACATTTGGAACTTTTAAAACTACATGTATGTATTACCTGTGTGCAGAAAAAGATGTTTTTAGAAGAAGAAAAATAAAGCAAAACAGCCAGATAACCTCCCCTCCCCCCAAACAAACAAATCAATAAATAGCCCCTCCTTACAACTCAGGTCTCTTCTACAAGGCAAAGTTCAATATCCTCCCTGAGGAGGGAGCCCTCATGGTCCCCAGGGACCCTGCTGGGCTCTCTTCACCCCACACTTCTCCCGCTCCTGGAATAGGCTTCGGTTTTCACGCCTCTGCCTGAAACCTCTTTCAACTGATGTCTGTTAAAATGATCGTCCTGGCTCCCTCAGGACCCGATTTGAAGACACCCTGCCCTGGCTATCTCCTCTGCATTCCCTGGGGCTGTAGCAGACCGTTCTGTGCATGTGTCAGTCTCTGTTTATGAGTCAGCCGCTGACTGCAAGGCTAGGGGCTGAGTCCCATTGCACTTCCCAGTCCCTGTGCGTGGGCTGTAGCTCTTTGTTGCCCGTGTCCTAGATCATCGCAAGCAGGCTCTGTGGGGTTCCTGTTGCCTGTGGCGACTTCGGAGGGAGATAGCAGCCCGGTTTTCCAAACCTCACTCTCTCTGGCACTCGACAAACCTAACGTATTTTTTTATTTACTGTCAACATGGCAACCTGGGTTGTTTAACCAAAATGGCCACCTGGCGTTCCTCCAGGGTGGCGCCACCCTGCAGGTACTGGGCATGTATGATGAACTGTCGAGGTCTGTCACTGTCAAGGTCATTGCCTTCTGCCTGAGTTTCCCAGGGGGTGGTGGCAGAACCTTTCAGGGGGCCGCCTTCTCCATAGATTATCAGGCGGCCAGCCAAAGGATGTTTATAGAGTTTATGATAACGTGGGAAAGTGCTTCTGCTCTGGAGTTAAATTTAAACAGCAGAATATAGGGTATGATTACACACACACACACACACACACACACACACACACACACACAACAAAAGCCCAGAAGGAAGTACGTCAGCATGCCCACAGGGATTGTCTTTGGACAGGATCAGGAGTCATTGCATTCCTTTTCTACTTCTCTGTCATTTCTGTATTTTCTAGAATAAGCATCTGCAGCATATATATGTTTTCAGTTTTTTAATACAGTGTGCAATTTTATTTAAAAAAAATGTCGTCCTTGTCTGAGAATATCTTGGGGATCATCCCACATCCGCACATGCAAATCACCTCTTTTTTTTTTTTTTTTAGGGAGATTAAGTTATATTCCATCACGTGATAGACATGGATTTATTTAGCCAATCTCCTCTTAAGGGAAACTTTGTTTCCTTTGTTTTTCTATTACTAACAGTGCTGTAATAAATCTCCCTATCTATGTATCCAAGCAACCTTTAAAATACATATAATTTGTAAACAGTACATGTATATGTACAAAGAATTCACACTGTAAATGGTAGACAGTGAAGAGTGAGCCTCCCACCTCTGATCCTTGTTTCCCTGGGGGCCTCGGGTCGCGGGGTGGGGCAGGCAATGCTCTGCGTGTTGTACTTGGATCACCTCACTTAATCTGCACAGCAGTCCCATGAGGATTGGCATTTTGACCGATAGTAAACCTGAGGCTCTGAGACCTTAATCACTTTCCCTGGTATATGGTGGGGCCGTGTTGAACCCAGCCAGTCTGGATCCAGAGTTGATGCTCTTCATGACTGCAGTATGTTGCCTCACTTAGGTTGCTGATTTCAATGGCTGAATATCTTGTCATTGTCTGGAAACACCATAATGTATTTAGCCAGCTCCTCTTGGATGGGTATGAAGGTTGTTTCCAGACTTTTGCTACCACAAACAGCACTTCCATAAGCATCCATTTATGTATGTCCTTGTACCCACGCAGGGGTGTGCCTGCCAG